CTTCCTTCACAATACTTGCAATAAGGCCATGAGTTTTCACCAATTTTCTTCTATATTGATGTCCTTCTCAAGGAATCCCTCTTCCATTTAATCCGAGTCATATGGAGTACGTGTGCATTGCCTGCTGCTTAATTCCATTGAACATATAATGCTATTTTTATCATTATGCAGGTATTCAATTAAAATACAAATCTCTCAATCAGGTTTCTGTAATATGTAGAAGTTGAAAGTCCCCTTTATAGGACTGATTTGGGAGTCCTAAAAGGAGAATATAATTTTCTGTAGTTTCCAGAAGAAAACAGGGTCATTGTTTAAAACCAAGCAGATGAACTGAAAGTCCCTGTATGGATTTCAAGTGTTCTTCCATTTTTAATTTACTTAATGTCTTCATTATTGGTAACATCTTCAGTCACATTATTCCAACTCGATGTCTCCTGCATACAAGGTAATCAGTAGTATAGCAGCAAATCCTGTCAGTAAACCAGCATTCTGGATGAGGAAGAAGGTTAAATCTTTTTTCCTTCCCGTTACTTCTTCTCTTACCATGTCATTCATCTCTGGGAACTAGAAGAAATATATATTTTTAAGTAAGTGTTGCCATCTTGTGGTAAGCATCTATAACTGAGAATTTCAAGTCAGTCATTGTAATAACAACAGATTAGAAATCCTAACAAAAATTAGCAAAAGGGAGAAGTTATAGAGATAGGTCACCAAAACTCCTATATAAATTCTGTCATTCTACAAACGCTCCTCTACTGCCATCTGTCTTCTTGAGATGTCACCAAGCTTCAAACCTCTTTCCCCATCTGGTTTCAGGAGTCTATGGAGGTCTATCTACTAGGCCAGAAATCATTAGAAGCTAATCACTTCTTGCCAAATTATAATGTTAAATAAAAGGATATTATGTTGTGTTGCTTCCAGCATTGATATAATATATACATATACATAGGCTTTTAAACAGAAGCACCTCATATCAGTGAGATACCACTGATAACTGATAGGCTGATAACCTACTGGAAAATCAGGGATGTAGAAATGATGGCTCTGTGATGATGGCAGTGATAATTATCCCTTTATCACTAGTAACATGCACTCAAGGGACCACCATGCCATAAGGGAAGACTGATATATTTTTAAGTAGACATATGTAGTACTAAGAAAGAGTG